TGTATAGCAGTCAATAAAACAAAGAAACTTATTTTAGTACATACATCCTATAAGTTGTGGAGCCCACTGACTTCCTATGGATTCAAAACCTTGAAGGGGATAATGGTAGTTTGTCTGAGCAGCCACTGAGTAAAGACTAAGAGTATGTTCTACCCCACAGCAGCTGTGAGTCAGGCTCTGCGGGTCTTGAAGCTGGGTCCACATGAGTCCTGGCAGTCATCACACTCCAATCCTCCACCCAGCAGCTGGGACTGGGGTCCATAAAGCCCAGCAGGGGCATGAGCCCTGCCGTTATGCTCTCATTGGGAGAGCTCCAAGGCTCCTAATTGAGCCACACCTCTATTCAAGCCAGAGGAGGAAATGGGAAGTTGTCCATACAGCTGGGCTCCACCCTGCCTGTCTGGTATTTACCTGTACATGCCTTCTGAGCCTGACCTCCTGGGAGCCTGACTCGGCCTGATTCCTTGTAACTGACTCTTGATTCCCGCCCTCTGATTTGTCTCTCGATTCTGATCTCCTGGTATCCCAACCCAGCCTAATTCCTGGTCAATGGCTCCTGGGCCCAGGACTCTCAGCCCACACCTGACACTAACCCGTAGGCCAGGCCACCCACACCCCGGCCCTGACACTGTACTGCTGCAGTGCCGTAGCATAGACACGTCCTACATTGATCAAAGGGGTTTTTCCATCCATGTAATTAATCCACCTCTCCAGCTAAGTCGCTGGAAGGATCCTTCTGTCAACTTAGCCATGTCTACACCGGGGGTTAGGTCGACCTACCTAAGGTGCTCAGGGTGCAAAATTCTTCCCAGCCCTAAGCAATGTAGCTAAGTCAATCTAATGTTTAAGTGTAGATCAAGCCTAAGAACAGATCTCAGCATTTTTCCCTGGGCTATTATAATGTAATAAGTTAAATGGAACAGCTATAAAACTGGGCATATTCAATGGCATTAATCCTGACTTTGCCCCTGCGCCACAGGCGATGCTCCATAGGTTTGAACAGGGTGCACAACTGGGCACGGCTGCCACTCCAATTAAATTATTTTTAAAATCC